GGGGCTGGCAGTGAGGGGAAAAAATTGTATAGAAAGAATAGATTTCAATAGGATTCCTTGAAACAGTTAATTATAGGATTCTTAAATGCCAGGCTATGTTTTCCTTCCCTTTATTTTCTTTTTTCCTTTAAATAGAGTGATATTGTAAAATTGCCCTTAGTAGTGCAGTGTGGTTTTTTTCCTTCTTTCCTCCCTACACTTTCCCTATGTAGTAGGCCAAATGTTTTAAAATTCTGCCTAGAGGAAAGGGGGGTGGATTCCTGCTCTGACTGGGGTAATTGTTAAGACTAAGCAAAAGTTTTGATCTTTCTGGCTGATATAGCCTATAGGGACTCTCCTGAACAGACTGTCTAGAAAGTTGCCAGATTCGATGTTGGTATTTGAATTAATGACATACGTTCACTTGGGACTGTAATGAGACCACTAAGTGGCTACTCATAAACCATCATATGGCTTAAGATATTTCTGGTAGAGTCATCACCTGTGTTGGCTGGATGAAGACAGGTAAGGTAGAAGTGAATCGTTCGTGTGCTATTATCTGTTCCCTTGGTCATCCTGTCTTTAATTCTGCTCTTTTAAAATATATGGTAGAGGATGGGAAAATATATGGATGTGAAAAATAAACAATCCATCCACCAAAACAGTACAATGAATGCCAAGTTCAATTTCTGCCAAGGCTTTGTTTCCTCTGCTGCTGTTGCCTCTCCAGTACTTGCTGTAATCAATTAACATCTAATCTTTATTGAACCTGGGTGTCAGATATATCACTGTATTCTGCTACCACTTGAGTACTGGGCATTTGAGCATCAGATTTTTTCCTTGTTGCATAGAAGCCATGGAAAGCAGTTATATTTAAAGAACATAGCTGCTGCAATTGGTAGATATTGAAAATGGTCACATATAATGTCCAGGTGTGTTATCTGGCAACCTACTTTGTCAAAGCAGGGTGAATTGTCGAACGTGGACTTTATGATCCCCCCCCCAGAGTTACTATCAGTTGGACTTCTGTATCTTATATGTAAATACATTTAAAGTTCTTTTAAATAAAGCAATCATATATCAACCATTCCAGTTTGCAAGTCAGTTGAGGTCTTCTATAATAACATCATAGTTGCTACTCAAGTGGGTAGGACAACCTAGAAAGGACACCCTGCGCTTTTTCAGATGCGTTCACAGAAATTATGCTTGGGTTACATAGGAAGAACTGAACTGAACATCATACGAAAGAACAGATTTCTTTAAGCTGTGTTGGTAGTCTGAGAGAAGGAGGATACTAATTGTCCTGAAAGGAGTAATTGAATGACACCATAACCCAAAATGAAAAGTATGAATTTACTTGGAAATACCCCCCACTTTTTGTTGTCAGTTCTACGTTGGCCACAAAATAATATCAGAACCCTTTAATCGACAAAGCAGTATTTGAAGCTCCTCCTCTGACCTGTGTAGTTGCAAGACATTAACATAGTGTGGTAAAAGGCTTATATGTGAGCAGCCTTATTTTTCTCTTCACACCAGGTAGCCTGCATCTTTGCCACCCAATGTCTGTGCTCTCCTTTCTTTCCTCTGGTGATTTGTCTCCCAGTCAGAGACGAAGTGATACTTCCTTGAGAGTATGATGATATTGCTGTTAAGTTAGAAGCATTGCTGCCGCCTGAATGGCGTTTAGTCTGCATTCATTGAGTGTTCAGTCAATGTCGCTGTCCTCGGGCTAGCAGTGAGAATATCTGAGAATTGGCTTGAACCCAGTCCTTAGCGCAGCAGGAGCACGGAGAGACACTCCAGCATCACCGGGTGCCTGGCTTCGTTCAGCTTGCAGTTTATGAATATGCTAAGAAGCACAGATGTAACGGGGCTTCATAGGGACTGTACTCCTCATCTTGAAGAGCCAAGAGCATGCCCAGGCTTTTGCTTTCTTATTTTTTCTCTGTGGTCTTTTTTTTATTTTTTTCCTGCTAGAATAAGAAAAACATCTAAGAAAGGATTTGGTGTATAAAACGAGCAGTCTAAAAGAAATAAAAGCAACTTTGGAAACTGTCAGAGCCCTGACAAATCCCGAGAGCCCCCTGGGCCCAGCTCTCCTGGGTGGACCTCGGGCCTATGCCAGGCCTTGTCCCCAGCCCAGGCTAAAGGTGCTTTCCCAAATTTCTGTCTTCTGATAGCAGGTTCTAGTTACTTCTTGTGAATCTTTGGAGGTAGTCTGTGGTTCCCTTGATGTCACCGTAAGCAGTGTGAAAACCACTCTTGTATGTGGTACAAGATGTTTCTGTCTTGTCGTGCTGGAGTAGATGAAAAGCTTCAGGATACACTACGGGAGCAATCCTGAAGTATCAGGAAAGATCAAGTGAGTTTACGGAGCACAATGACGACGAAACAAGCTGTAAATGTGAACATTCAAAGTGAATAATGAAATGAGTGTGAAGCACAGCTGAGTAATGCTGCAGAAGGCTTTTTGACAAGAAATTGGAAATGTCTTTAAAGGGCCATTGCTCAATTAAAAGTTAACTATATATGTATACATTAAAGGAAAATCTGAGATGTAATATGCTAGGGGTAAACATGATCATGTATGCTACAGGTAGAGTTTAGAGTCAGGTGACTTGAAGTACACTCAACTCTGCTTTGACTTGTATTGACTTCAAAAAGTTATACTCAGAAATGTTGTGAAATGCACATTAGCTTAAATCATTCAAAAATGCTACGGCTCTAAAATGCCTTTGCCATTTGTGCTATTTTAAATTTTTTGCATCTAATCCTTTTGCATAGAGAAATTAGTCCATTTCCTGTTTAGCTTGTTACTTGGCACAACAGTGCAATGTTTGGGCTTCCAGAAAGACATGGGAATAGAGAGTAATTTAGAAAAACTTTAATTAAAATTAATTGATGACATTTAAGTGTAAAATTTTATGCCTAAATTGGTCTGAACATGCCTATGAAAGATGATCTATGCATTGTTTGATTTGAGCTGGAAGTGTATTATTGAATTACAAAATCTGTGTGTATTCATTTGTGCACATATTCATGTGTGTGCATATGTGTTTTATAAAAAAGAGAGTAATGAAGGAATCTGGATTATTCATCCTTGGTCCATTTGTTACATCTTGCTTTTGCATAAAGAGGTATCTTAGCTGCTTCTGGCTTCTTTGGAGGATGCAATGTCACAGTGGCTTTTTCACTGTTGGGAGAAGACAGAGCTGGGATGTGGTACCCTTGTCTGGTTCTAGTGCTTTTCTGCTACTTAGGAGACAGCTGACAGCTAGAATGATTTGGGGCTATATTACACAAATAATTATAAACAATGTATGTATATTACACACTGGGGCAGTTTGTCTCCTGCAGCCTACAGGAATGTGAAAAGTGAACGTGTGGAAAGGAACAGAAAAGCCTCTTTCCTTCTTGAATAAGGGAGGTGGTTGGAGGTCAACTGTTTTTTAGGAACGTATCTGTAGATAATGCATCGCTATGTGTGAACATATTTTGACTTTTTTTGGTCCCAAATTTTAATAAAATATGTTGAGATGGGAAATTTCAATACTTTCAATGCAGAAGAAATTCTATTTCTCAAACAGCTCTAATACTAGGGTCTGTAAGAGTCAATGTCACTTCTTAGGCTGTTAAAGATTATGACATGACTCCACAGCATCTAATCTAAGGTGTAACTTGTCAAACATGTGCTCTTGGCAGGCAATTTTAAAAAGTAGCACTTGACTTAGAATTTCAAGTGTCCTCCCTGAGACATATCCTTATTATTATTATTGTTTTTAAACTAATACTTTGGACTCAAGCCTGGTGTGAACTGCTACTAGGGCGCCACTTCTTCTGTGCCTGGCCCACCCAGTGGTGTGACCCACTACTGTAAGGCACTGCTTCTCCTGTGCCTTCAGAAGACAGTTCAGGTTAAGGAGTATTATGAATAATACTCCTTAGCCAGTTGCTTTGCTGTTTCTTCTTGGCTGTATCACGAGAAGAGGTGAGCAATGCTGCTTCCTCTGTCCTCTCTTTCCC